CCGCCCGTCGCCCGGGTGGCCGGCGCGCCACCTCCCCTCTGTTAACCGCCGACTTGGCCAGGGCTGTGGATCGGAGCCACCGGGGCTGCTGACGGGAAGCACTGTGGCCCTGGGTAGCAGCCGCAGGTCCCTGACCCAGCCCGCCGGATTGGGCCCTGGCCTGACTCCCACCGGGCTCTGGCTCCCCCGCCCAGCTCCTCCAGCCCCTGCGCCCACGTGACAGGTGTTAGGTGGAGCCCTGTGGCCTGGTCCTTCCCTGGACACCTGGACTGGGCACAGAGCTGCCACCGCGGTAAGGGAGGGGTCGTTGTGCCCCGGTACAAGAGAAAGCCCGGCCTTGCGGGGACTAAAGGCCTCCTAAAGCAGACTTGCTGGCCAGCGCTCCAGTGTGCTCCTGGGAGGCTCCCCGGTGCAGGGAAGGCCTACCCGAGCCAGCGGCCCTCTGCCTCTGCACAGCAGCCTGGCTCCCACAGGAGAGTAGACAGGGACCACGCCACCTGCCCCTCAGGACGTCCTTGCCCCAGGTACCCACACTGACCCCCCTGTTGCCTGGCTGAGCACAGGGCCTCTCACCCCTCCAGCTGGGGCTGAGCAGCAGCTTCAGAGCAGAAAGCAGGGCCGAGCTCTCGGCTGGGCAGCCGAGGGGCCCAGCCAGAGTGGCCGAGGCAGGACCAGGAGCCCTCTGGAGGGGAGGAAACTTAGGGCCCAGCCACAGGCACAAGCAGTCCAGAGGACCCCCAGGACTCAGCTGCCCAAATGCCTGCCACCCCCCACAACCTGCACCCCCAGTGCTGGTACATCACCTCACAGACCCGCCCGCCCACTCGCACCACTTCCAGGCACCTGACAGCGGGAAGCAAGTTGTCACCTAGGTGGGAGGGGCCTGGGCCCTTGAGCCATTTGGATGTGGCCCAGGAGGCCCCATGTTGCTGACAGGCAGGGACACCCCACCCAGAGGTGGCCGACCCACAGACCCATCCTGTCCACGTGACCACTTCACCACGGCTCGTCAAGGGCTGGCTCAGGAGGGGTGTCAGGAAGGCCACAGTGAGTGAGGGGCCTGAGCTGTCCTCGCCAGCTGCAAAGGGTGGGTGTGGGCACTTCCCTCACTTGGCAGGAAACAGGAGGGTTTGGGGCGAGGGTTGGGGGCTCGCCTTCTTTGGAGCAAGGACCAGAGATGGACCTGGAGCCCAAGGCTCCCCACATGCCCCAGCAGCTGGCACTTGCACAGGCCCATGTCCTGAGACCCACGTGCCTCTCAGACTAAAGGCTGCCCCTTCCTGGTGCCCTGGTAAACCCTGACATGCCTCGAGCTGGGGGCGGGAGGGGCGGGCTGGTGTTGTGACACGTGCAGGGTGGCAGGGACGTGGATGTGCCTGAGTCACGGGGCTGTCACGGGCCATGTCAGCCTGCACCCTGTCTAGTCCCTAGCCCCCGGGCGCCACCCAGCCCTGGGCTGCTGCTGCAGACTGAGCCTGAGTGAGCCGTCTGGGTACCATGGCTGGCTCAGCCCTGAGACCCTCAGGCAGGGCAGTTGGTCGGTGCGGGGCCTCCTGGGTCCCACTGTTCTAGCCTGATGCAGAGATGGCAGAGATGGCAGAGATGGAGCTCTGCAGACGCGGGGTGGGGCAGTTGGTAAGACCCTTAACTGGGTGCTGAGGGGTGGGTGGGAGGATTTCCCAGTGCCCCAAAGGTGTCCTAGAGCCGAACATGCATGCTTCGGCCTCAGGAGGAAGCCGGCTGTGACAGAGGCCCTCCTTACAGAGGGCAGTGCTGCGAGAGCCAGCCCCGCTCCCAGGCCAGGGGACAGGGCTCCGGGTGAAGCAGTGCAGGGCAACCCAGGGAGCCACAGGAGGGGCGCCTGGCCAGTGCAGGCCAGCCCAGGGTCCAAGCTTGCCTCCGATGCTGTGCCTGACCCAGGCAGGGACTCAGACCACTTAGGAGCCTTGGAGCTGTCCCCATGGCCACTCGGTTTTTGGAGTCCTCTCTGCGCCTGGCTTCCCTCTCCTGGCCAGGCAGTACTGGGGGCGTGTCGCTGGGAAGAGCAGGGCATGACCGCCACTTCCCCTCCCTAGGGCTCCCGCCTCCTTTGCTCAGGGCCAAGCAGGTGACAGGTGGGCAGCCAGCTCCCTAGCCCTGCAGCTTCTAAGGTCTGCATGTCCCAAGGCCCGGCAAGCAAGGGTCTTGGGAGCCCTGTCATTGACTTGGTTGGACGCCAACCCAATCCCAGACACCATGGCTTTCCTCCCTTCTGGACACTGACCTTGTGCAACTGGGATTAACTCTGCTCCAGTCTGGTCAGGCTCCGTGGAGCCCCTGGGCCCCTGCAGTGGCCCCTCTGCTCACCCTTCGCTCACCACCTTCCGATGGCCAGTGCAGCCTGTATGTTGAGGCCACAGAGGCACAGGCAGTCCCCAGGCCAGAGGAGAGTCGGGACAGCGATGGCGTGTGTGTGACGAGTGGCACGCTGGGCAGTCGCTCATGTGCTGGGTCCCAGAGGGGAGGCAGGAGTGGCACCAGGAGGAAGCTGAAGAGTGGAGAAGGCACGAGTGGGCTGAGGAGGGGAGCCTGCCCCCAGCAGGGAAGCAGCAGGCTGCAGGCAGAGGGGTGGGAAGGGGGAGCGAGGTGGGCTGGAGTGAGCAGTCAGCCGGACTTGCTGGGTCTCAGGGCCCGGTGAGGAGCCTGTCAGAGAGAGCACCTGAGGGGCCCCCAGTGGCCGTCTGCACAGCCTGGAAGCCACCAGTGCTGGGGCCCTCTGAGGAGCCTGGGGCCCACAGGCTCACTGTGGCCCTCAGGCTTCGTGACGAACCCTAGGGACAGCACAGCCATGGCCAGCTCTCCCCATGGGACCCTGAGAGGGCGGGCTTGGGCTGACGAGGGCGACACTTCCACATGGGGCCACTGTCCCCTTTCCCCACTGAGCCCAGACACCCCAAGCCCCTCTGCAGCCTGTCCTAGGAGGGTCCTCCCAGAATTCTGTTTTGAATTGGGATACATCACAAAGAAGCTGAGGCTGGGGATAATGGAATCTTGGTCATCTTTTTATATTTTAATTATTTCATTTAACTTTACTTATGCATTCATTCATTTCCATTTGAGGAGCGAGGGATAGAGGGAGAGAGAGAAAGCAAGCTGCCACGTCCAGACACGAACCACAGTCGACCACAGTCGGCCTTGTGGGAGTCCAGCACCCTTAACCACCACGCCACCTGCCAGCTCCTCTTTAAAAGTCTCTTCCCAGAATTAGCTCCTGTGGTACTTGTCTCAGTAGGCAAAGGCGGCCCCTCCAGCAGGAACCTCTGGAGGCCCTCAGAGCCCTGGGTCCCCCAGGTATGGGTGGGGGAGAAGGGCTCTGCAGGCCGCAGGGCTCACCCAGCTCCTTGCTCACTGGCTGGCCAGGCGGGTGCAGCCGGGGATGGGCAGGTCCTCATCAGGGCCCCTTGGGGCCTCTTTGCCAGAACAGCGAGAAGACCCTAGTTTCCCAGCGAGCTCAGCTCTGCCCAAAGCCGGGCCAGTGAACTGTGGGTTCCTCTTCTGGAGCCGGCAGGAGAGTGGACACCAGGTTGCGGGGCACCCGCTGGGGTGAGGGCTGACTGCCAGGCAGGGCGGCAGAGGGGAGGGGAGGGGAAAGGCGGGGAGAGGCCGTAAGGCCTTCTCGCACAGCTCCTGTCCCTGTGGTGCAAAGGCTAGCTCGACCCTGAGATGAGGGGGGTACGGTGGCACTGGGCGCTGCAGACGTGAGCACAGGGGTGACAGAAAGGGCGCCCCCAAGATGCCCTGGCGTCCACGTGCGCACCCAAGGCTGGGAGCGCTCTCATCTATATCCGCACCGCTCCTGCGTTATTTCTCCCCGGGCGCCGCCTCCACCGCCGCCGCCTCCGGATCCCAACCCCGCGGGCGGCCTCGCCCCTCGCCCCTCCCCCCTCCTCTCGCCTCGAGGCCCCGCCCTGCCGGGCTGGATTTGCTGGGCAGTCTCGGCACTTTTTTTTTGCGGCTGTCCGGGGGGGAGCCCGCCTAGGCCTGGCCCCGAGCGCGCGCTCGGCGGCGACCGCTGTCCATGGTGCTGCCCGCGGGGCCTGGTCTGCCTGGAACAGCCACCAGGTGCACGGGGCATGCCGGCGGGGACCAGGACCTTGCAGAGGGCCGCCGTCAGGCTGGGCTGCTTGTCTGTCCCTGGCACAACTTCCCCACTCTCGCCCCAAGGCCGCCCTGGGCCTCAGCTGCTTCCAGTGGGGCATTGCTGTGCCCCGATTGCACTGGGGGAACTGAGGCAGCCCCACAGCAGGCCTCAGTGGGCAAACGGGAATCTGGAAACTGGTAACGGCAGTGGCCACCCCACAGGCTGCATGACTTTGAAAGATGCTGTTACCCCAGCGGGCACTGTGTGAAGGCACGGGTAGGGCCGTATCAGCCAGTGTGAGGCAACTGCTTCCCGGTCAGTAGCCAAGGTGGTGGTCTCCTCCGGGGCAGCCTGACCCATGACGCAGGGCCCAATGGCAGCTTGGAGGGGGGAGGGAGCTATGCAGAGGGCCTTGGGTGGACGGCCAGGTGGAGCCAGGCCACCAGGCCCCCAGCCAGGTTGGCAGCCACAGTCTGGCTCAGCTCCATGTCTCTCCTGGGGGGCTCTGGCAAGGGCTGGGCTGGGGCTGTGCAGGCCCCACCGGCACAGGGAGGCAGGACTCCTCTTCCCTCAGGTCTGGCCCATCAGAGGGGGGGATGGGGGGGGCGCCAGCTTCCTCAGCTCTGTCGCTCCAGAACAGGAGTGGCCCAGGAAGGGGACACATGCTGCTCTCCTCCCAAGGCCCACCCCATCTTGGGAGCCAACTTAGACACCCTTGTGCCTTAGTGAGACCTGGTGAGGCCAGGCCCACGTCTGCCAGGCAGGGGGAAGGTGGCAGCTAGGAGCAGCTTTTGACTGTGATTATGGGGCAGGAAGGCAGGGCCTGCACAGAGGCTCCAGGCTTGTCCTGGGGTCACCGGCAGGCCTGGAGGGCAGATCACACCCTGCCACTCTCTGAGCCCATGCTGAAGCGTGTGTGAGGCCCCTCTCGGGCCTCAAGGCGAGGAGGTAGCGGCTTGGCGGTGCAGTGTCCTACCAAGACTATGCAGCTGGGAGGGAGGGCCCCCGGGCTGTCTACCCGGCCATGCAGGCTGCTCATGGAGTGGATGGTGTCCTGCCCAGGGTCCTACGGCCCTGCCCTCCAGGCTGTCTGCACCCAGTGCTGTCACCCCCCTTACAGCCTTCATGGCCTGAGGAGAGCTGCTCTCAGTGGGCAGACGACCGGCCAGGCTGGGCTGGGTCTCGTGGGGGGTGCCCACTGGTGTCCTCGCACTGGGAGCGAGGATGAAGGCAGCACACCCAGGGCTCGCCGTGGAGGCCCTGCCCGTCCTTTGGCTCCCACAGGTGCTGGAACTCTCAGGAGCTGCTGGGCGTCAGGGCACCAGGGCTGCAGGGAGAAGCCCGAGACCACCCCAGCCCTTTCCTGCAGGGCCTTGGCCTCCACTGCGAGTCCCTGGAGCTTTAGGTCCCTTACCTGAGAGCTGGGGACAGCAGGGGTGCGGGGCCTCACCTCTGTGTGGGCTGTGCGGGCTGAGCTCGGTGCACATGGCAGGTGCTCCGAGTACAGAGGTCTTGGCCCTCCACCTCTAATGCGCTCACAGCCGGGGAGAGGGTGCGCGCAGACCCTTGCAGTGGGTGGTTCTGAGGGCCCGTGGGGGGACACCCAGGGATGGGCACCATGGCCTGCAGAGAGCAGCAGCCTCACTCTCCCTCCCAAACCCTGTCTGCAGAGTGCGTGAGGAAAATGTCGAGCCCGGGTATCGACGGCGACCCCAAGCCCCCATGCCTGCCTCGAAACGGCCTCCTGAAGC